ATATTCGCACAGCATATTGTTATCAAATGCCAAATTAATAATAAAATAAAATAATGCAACGTATCAAAAGATACATGAATCAATTGTTATTTTATCGAGAAATATAATCGACAAAGGAAACAAAATTAATTTAAATCTTCATTTTTGTTTGGAACCAACATATTTACAAATTTCAATAAGCTGTATCTTTGCGAAAAATTGTCCGATTTCGATGATTTTTTTTTCCTTTTATAGACAATTTAGTAATGTTTTATAAATCATGGGAATAACCAAGGAAAAGTGTGTAATTTTTTAGTTATTCGCAAATAAAGTTTTTTTCTTTCATAACTTGTTTGCCTGAATTTTCGGGGTGATTGGACTATTTTGCCCGCCTGAAGGAGAAGGAAGCCTTCGAAATTGGTGGCTCAATCTTGAGATTTGGTGAAGAATTAACGATGATATGGCTTGCCGATCAAAAACACAATCGATAAATAATATAAACTCCTCCTCTCTCGATCATAGAGGCCTCAAGTCGACGAAATGAGACATGTATTCAATGACAGTACTACAATTAATGTAAGGTTGTGTGGATGCGAACCCTATGCCTTGCGTTATCTCGAAAATAGTACGTTTTTGGGCTTAAAAACGCAGGATCCGATAGTTCCGGAGGAACTATCCGGGTCTTGCTGTATACATCAAAATCTTCAGGATCCAATTTATTCCGTATCGATCTACAGACCTACCACTGTTCAGGTATTGATGCCTAGCACAATGTTTGTATCGACTTTATATTGTATTTTAGAAAGAAAAACAAAGTGGAGAATACGATTCGCTAACCCCCCGTGAAATTATGAATCCAACGGTACCCCATTCATGGTATTTGAGCATGACAGGAGCTTATATTTGGTACAAAACCGATTTCGAACCTTATTGTAATAATATATGTACGGATGTACGGATAATACATTGTAACTCATTCAATACAATACTTTGCACAAGAAATAAAATATAAAATAAATCGATTGATATATTGTAAGCTGAAAATCCGGTCAAAACAAGGGCAAAAATAAATAGCTTAATTTTTGTGTGAAATTATATAAATATTTTTTCTCGGCTCCTGGAGCCCATTGCAAGGAACGCCGGGATATGTCAATTATTTCTCAATGTAGTTTAACCGAAAAAATATGGTTGAAATCGGTCTCACTGATTGTACCGTCCCATTGTTAGAGCCAAAATTAACCGAAACTTAACAGGTGGGAACCTATTCTATAACTAGCCTAGTACAAAAGCAATAGTAAATAATTAGATTGTATTAAACATACAAGACACTTAAAGATAATTTATAATTCAATATTTAACAATTTAACTTTAATAATAAAAAAACAACTTTTTTACTGGGTCCTTTTAATCCCCAAGTCTCGGTACCATGAGTTCACCAACCACCTTAATGCAGGGGAAGAACTGCTCTTTCGACATGAACCTAGTCTAAGATATACTTCATAGAACATTTCTACCACTGCCCAGGAAATCAGATAAACTTCTGTAGAAGAATGGAGAAACCTGAACCAAAACGCCATTAATCTCTTGATTAAATGCCTACTTGACTGCGTGCAGGTCTCAGTTAAAGCTGCCTTATGGTGTAATACCCACGGTTCAGAATAATATGGTTTTTTTAGTCTGTAATTTTTTTTTGTTTTTTTTTTGGAGACTGCCATTTACGAAACCATTTTCTTTGAATTAGTTCAAAAAGAACTAGTTAGTGTACTGTATGGGACAGAAGTGAAAAATAAATTACAGCGTGCGACGTCAGTACACTGAACTAGTAAGACCTGGTAGTGTGGTAGGATGATTAACGTTCATTTTATCGTAGCCTATTTATTTTTATTTCCGAAAATTTTTGGGAATGTGGCGTTTTCAATCTGGAAATCGGTAAACTTTGTTATTGTTTTAAATTTATTATTTAAGGGTATTTTCTTTATTAATTGAAAGTTTCTCCCTATCCTTTTTTTTTTTAATTTAAAATCCTCTCCGGCACCGGGACGCGAACTCGTACTTCTTAAATCTTCTCAAATCTGTAATCCGGTTACCAGGCAACTCGCGGTGCTGTGCACACGCTTTAGCCCATTCGTCCACCCCGTCCCCTTCTCCCAATCCATCGCTTCCTCCTCCGCCAGTCCTCGGCCTACCATATTCTAACCAGAATCTTCCTACTTCTTCTATTACTTCTTAAGGTTTTCCTCTCCTTCTCCTACCCTTGGCCTCCCACTGAAATACCGTTTTGAGAAGTCGTTCTCTATCCATCCTTTTAACATATCCATACCACTTCCATCTTCTATCTTCCATTATCTCTAGTATATTATTTCTAACTTCCAGTCCTTCTTTAATGGACTCATTTCTGATTGTTTGTGTCTTTGATACTCAAGCCGATCTCCTCCATAAATCCATCTCCACAGCGAGGAATATTTTCTCTGCGATTATATGAGTAGCCACGTTACAAACCTATTGAGCATGATGGTTTCTGCTAGAGCCTTATTTATTAATTTCTTCAACTTCATCTAAATATTTTCTCGAGAGAGTCAGAATACCTGAAGAAGGCCTTTACTATTTCCTAACTTTTCTGACATGATTTTAGCAACAGTAAACTATTTCACGTAGTTTGGAGCTATCTGCACACAAAAGATGTCCAAATAACGATGTCATAGAGGCCAAACGGCCTAATATATTTTTTAGGCTACCTTTGTTTTTCGATTTTGTGATCAAATTATCTTACGACCCAAGAGGAAAGCTAATGGGTGTTCATAATGTTTTATTATCTTATGTAATTAATTAATTAAATCCGAAAATGTCCCATTTCTATGAATTTTCTTTGATAAATATGTTGTAATTACGATTATATAAAGCCACTCACGAAATTTTAGACGAGAGTTAATAATTTGATTTAAAGGGATCTGTACCGCAGAATATAAGAGCCAAACATAAAAAATTGAATTACAAAATTTTAGGCCAGCTAAATGTCTTTTTCAAAACCTAAATACCAATATAGAAAATCTTTATGAATGATTCTGACATTCAGAAAGCATTTAGGCCTGCTCAAAATGGCATTTAACTTGTCTCAAATTGTCTAATTTAATTTTATGGACTTGGTACGGGCCCGTTATTGATGTTTTACAGTCTTAACTTGATGAGCATAAAATGTGGTCGATTAGCAGAAAAAATTGTAATTAATCTGATCATACAGTGGGTCAAAAAATTATACATAAATTTAGTTCATTAGCCAAAAATATTTTTTATTTTATTTATATAAGGACATATAATGATAAGAAATAACATTTCTCGCTAACTTTACTCATTTGTAAAAATTAGAAACTATAAAATTTTTTTTAATAATTAAAATTTAAATCGTTCATGGTAAAAAAATTATTCATCCTCTTAATAAACAATTTATAAATTTAATAAACAAAACACTAACAATTTATTTTCAGTACTTTGTTGGATAGCCTTTGGCATTGTTCACAGGATGTAATCTCCTTGGCATTGATTCCACGAGCTTTATGGTCTCCTGAGGTTCAATTTCTGTCCAAGCTTTACCGAAATTGTTCATTAATTCTTACCAAAAAGTAGATCTATGTTTTCGGGATTTTAGCTCTAATAGAGTCCATAAATGTTCAATGGGATTAAGATCCGGTGATTGTAGTGGTGTTGGGAGCATTATTTAGCAAACATTTTTTGCTTTTCCTGGCCATATGTTAAGGGTCATTATCGTCTTGGAACAAATAACTGTCTTCTATTCTTAGCTTTCGCAAACCTTTTTTTTGTTTCAAATTATCTCCCAACACGTTCACATACTTCTCAGCATTCAAAATTCCACCAATAATTTCTAATTTACCTACCTCACTAGCACTTACCTTTTTATTTAGCAACCCCAAGCCATAATATTTTCTCCTCCATGCTTCACTGTTGGTTGCAGATCTTTTGGATCAAATGCTTTCCCCTTTTGCCTCCAAAGTTCCTTCCATCTGATCCAAATATATTGAATTTGCTTTCATCAGAAAACAACACATTTTTCATCTAAAATTAAACCAGTTTATTTACGAGCACCCGGGCAAACTTCAATCTTTTTTCCAGTTTCTTTTCATTTATAAATGTTTTTTTTCTTGCCACTCTACCCTTATATCCTGCTTCATGTAGCCTATTCCTCACGCTTTGGAGTGTCACAGTTCTGCAAGCTCACGAGCAGATACTTGAGGAATTTTCTTCGCCTTTTGCACGATTTCACCTGATTCACGCACTGAGAGCGAACGTCTTCTGCTCGTATGATTTTTGTTGTCCAGGGAACCGGATTTAAAATTTTTAATTATATATTGTACGGTCCCATGTGATAATCCTAACTTTTTTTTCAACACATAGCTAACTCAACCCTTGTTGAAAGTGCTTAACTATATTGTCTTTGAGATGACAACTTAATTATTTAGATTTGCGACCCATTTCGGTAAATTTTTCTTTTAATACTGAACTAACAGGCTAAATAATAAACCAAATGTTTCTCAAGCTTGATATTAAAGATTTATTTACTTGAGAATAATAAATGATTATTAATATTGATCTGAACATTGATCGGAAAACAAATTAAAACTATGTATTTTTCGTGTATGAATAATTTTGTTGGCATGAAAAATTTAAATTATTAAAAAAATTGTATTAGTTTCTAATTTTTGCAAATGAGTAAAATTAATGAGAAATGTTATTTCTTATCACTATCTGTCCTTCTATAATTTTAAAAAATCAATAAAAAATAATTTTGGCCAATAAGCAAAGTGAATGAATAATTTTTTTGACCCATCATATGTCTTTGGTAATTTTTAATGCTGTATGCCTCTTTGGTACATCATTCGGAAAGTTTATACTCAGGTTAACCTATTTTTGTAAACAATATGATTGCGGTCTCTACGTTTCTTGTCTGTTTTACTTGAAGTAACAGTTTTAAAGGGTGGACTGACTCATTTATTAGTTTGTGAATCTTCAGTAAATATCAATCAAAATGGCTGAAGCATCGTGTTCTTATCATTCAGATGATGAGAAAGACATTTCAATCGAAAACATTGAGTCCGATGAAGAATCTTTACCCCAACATGATTTAGATGCTGTGCCTTGTGCCAAAGCTTCATATTGCAAAAAACCTGAAGAATCTGAAAGACTTTTAGATAATCAACATTCTCCACCCCCTAGCTTAAGCCATTCTCAACCTTCTGGATATGAAAGGAAGGTATGCCATGGTCGTTTTAATTGCTCTTTTTGTGATATGATTATATTACAGAGTTATGCTTGGTATAGAAACTTAATCAGATGAAGGTTTAGGTTTACCTGCCTCAGGGCTCCCACATCCCAATATTGGAACACCCTTCAATGTGATAGTTATGTGTAATGAGAAATTTAGTTTAATATCTCATTTTGGTGAACATTTTATAGGATGTACTGATTGATATTTAATATTTCAATTTTTAAGAATTTTTTTATTCCTCTTCCCCCTAACCAGGCCATTTCTAACGGGGGTCTTTAATCAGCAATTAACCAACCTTCTGCGATTAAAGTGGGTGGGTAGAGATTCATGGTGTAGGTGGGCCACAAAATAAATTTCAATCTACTCACACCAGATTTGAACTGATGCTACTAGACTAGAGATTGAAGTGACACCTTAACAATTCCTGCCATCATGGCCACAATTTTTGACAGTTTAAAAAAATTTAATATGTATTTAAACAGTTTTCACTAGGTCCCTTGGACCTTCGTATGTGTCAAGAAAATCCTCTCTCAGGGCCCCTTATTTATAAAAATTTTCTTCTGTTATTCTACTTATTAGTAATTTGGATCATTAACTTAATTAATTAATTAATAGCTTTTTGTCTTCTTAATCGCCATTTAAAATTGTTCACCTGATTAAAAAATTCTGTAAATTCAGATTTATTAATTTCTATTTATTTTTTTTTTCAATTCAAATAATTATTCGCTCATAATGGTACAATCAGCTGAATTGTTTTGATAAATAACTATTGACATTATAAGCAGGAGGAAGGATAGCACCCAGCAGCACCTCTTCCTGGTCATTATTTACTTCCTAGATTCAGGTGAGGAGATCTCTCATCCTTCTCCTTTTTAGTCTCCTCCTGATGGACATGTTAGTCGTGGCCATATCGTTTATAAGTCTGTTGTTGTGTCCGTGCAGTTTGTGATGAAAACGAAAGTAGAGAATACATATTTGTTGTTCAATAGTTGGTTGTTGTAAGTTCGTTATGTAAAGATTTGTTGTTTACATACCAGGGAGTTCCTGTTGTTATAAGTCGTAAAATTGTGGATTTCCAGATGGATTTGAGTAGGTAAGTGTATGTATTTAGTTTTTGTCGAACTTTCAATTTTGATTTAGAAAAACGTGAGTATTGAAAATATTATTAATTTCTGTTCAATTATAGTGATCACCTGAGATGTGATGAAATTTAAATTATGAATAGTATGCAATTTAGGCCCATTTATTGCCCTATGCTTTTTTCAAAGAATATTATTTAAATTTCTGTTTAAATAAAAGAGTTATTTAATTTGTATTGAATGTTTTTTTCTAATAAAAAATGGTGGTGTTTATAGGATGAAATCAGATTGAAGAAAGAAGACAAAAAAGAAAACATGAGCATTGGCAAGAAAAAGCTTTATAGCTGGCTAAATAAACAGATGAAAATTGAAATGACTGATGGGCGTGTCCTCGTTGGTATTTTTCTGTGTACTGACCGTGATGCAAATGTTATACTTGGCTCATGTACAGAATATCTTAATCCTGAAGGTAATAGTTGTGTGGTCAGAGCAAATACTATATTATATGTTAGGATACATAGTGGTATTAGCAAAACCTAAATTATAGGAATTCCTGAGAATTATTTTAAAGGAATTAAGTCAAGTCAATTTTGATTCATGAGAATGAATGTATAAACATTTAGGGAGGAGATAAAGTTTTTGATTTCTTAAGATCCAAAATTAAGTTGTGCATATGGCTGTACATAGTACACCTCGAACAATCAAACATCACAATATTAGCACTTATACGGTATGCATGTTCTCTTTTTAACAGATGTTGAACTACACCATTTATTTATTTTTTATTTTCCAAGGGATTAAGTTAACATTTCATCACGTTTTGCTGATATTTTATCACATATTTAAATCTTTCGTTGTACCACTGATGATTATCATAACAGAGGTTCTCGAACTAGGTGATGCAGTCATCTTGGGATACCGCAGACATATGCTATTGATGCCACAGTGATAATATTTAATGTCAATATTGAACATTTAAGGAGAAAATTGTCAATTTGATGAATAAACATTCTAAAAATTAATATGGTTACATTTATTAATAACAGAATTAAAATCATTCAAATTTTCAATATCTTGGAAAAATTTTATTGGCACAAAAAATGAGTAAAGATTCTATTATAAGTATACAATGGTCAATCATCAGGAATTCTAAAAATGTTGAATCCAAATAAAACAACATATTTTGGTAAATTCTAAAGAGCACCTATGGGTAATCTACAATAGTTACTTGTACGTGGACCATGGTTAATTGCTATCTCAAGGATAAACTACTTTTTTCTTATGAAAAAGTTCCTTTTGAATTTTGTTCCTTATTTAATTTTAGTTTTAAAAAATTGTTGGTACCTCTGTACAAGTGATTCTCCACTTTAAAGGGTGTGTACACGGTATTATGATTGTGCAATAAGTGGGATTCCGAGGATTGACGTGTTCACAAAAATCACCCTTTAGTTGGATTGCTATTCACGACTTTTACAACCTCCCAACTGATCTACTTATTTGATTAACTCCTGTTCGCTCGAAAGGGATAAGCCAAGCCTCAATGGATCCTTTTCAGTTGAAATTGGAGTCTTAACAGACAGTTCGTTCACCTTCCTCTTCTTTTGGACATACTCAGAATCCCATTTAGTGCATGATCATGGCTTACTCATCAAAGTGGAGCGAGACCTGTACCAAATTTTTTCTATAAAGTTCCATCAAATTTTTTTAAAAAGTTGCTATAAAAGTTTAAAATCCTGTTTTAAACTAGGACCGGGCACATGTTCCAGTAATTTTTTAAGGTTTACCTGTAGAAGTAAACCGGAGTGTGTGTAACACCCGGTGAAGGCCAAACTGCACAGGTGATCGGAGAAGAATCAAAATTTGGTATTTTCTACTTGCGCAGGCTTGTAGACCTGAACATGTGTGATTCACTCCATTATACCTGCACAGTTTTTAGATTAATAAGTACAGTTTTTAATCAAGTAAGGCGTTCACGTTGTCTTCATGTTAGCTTACCATCTCTCGAATGAGTTAATATATTCCGGTTTACCATAGTGTGTGTGTGCTCTTGCCTGCAGAGGTATAATTTTCCATTTTATCTGACAGGTATATCGTAACATTTATGGCCGCCTCACATTATTTGCTTTGAGTAAAATTTATATTCAATAATTTTCAGTTTGTGGCTTTACTGATGAACCTAGGATTCTTGGGCTTGTTATGGTTCCTGGTAGACATATTGTTTCCATTCACCACGATGCTTCTGATGCACCCTCAGATGACAAAGAGTATGTACAATTAAATAAATTTTTTGTTTTGTTTTAATAGGACATTATTTCCATCATTTATAAAAAAAAAAACAATTGGCATAAGTTCCCAAGCATTACTCAAATATGGCGGCCAGCATGAAGATCACTTTTTGACCACTCTACATGGAATACCGAAACACCTTGAGTGTGCCTGAAAGAAGACTTTGAAAACTGAACGCTAACTCATGTGGAAGATTGTTAAGGTTAGGTCAAATTAACTCAAGTCATCTTCTCTTCTTTTCTGTTAAAAATGATTTGTGTATATAAATAATAATGTAAACAGATTTAGCCTAATGTTTCTCAACACTTCTTCCTAGGGAATAAATATCTAAATTAACATAACTTTTGTTGCTGATGTTTGATAATGAATGTACTATATACTATTTCGGATTATTAAGTATAATAAAAATGAGGAACAATAATTTTAATTAATAGTTGACCGTTGCATTATAAAGGAAGGAGATGGTCCAGGGTTGCGGTCATAAATAGGCTAAATAGTGGTAAAACTATTTTATTGAAAGCCAACGTTTCGACCCGACTTTGCATGTCTTCATCTGGGAAGTGTGTTCATCTAGGAGTTTCACTTAGAACTCAAACTGGTTCAAATCAGTTCTAAGTGAAACTCCTAGATGAACATACCTCCCTGATGAAGACCTGCAAAGTCGGGTCGAAACGTTGGCTTTCAATAAAATAGTTTTACCACTATTTATGACCGCAACCCCGGACCATCTCCTTTCTTTAATAATTTTAATGTTGAAAATAAAAAATAGTGATTGAATTGAAGCATTACTGTAACTAAAACATATGTTTTACTGACAATACTAGGTATATATGAACATGAGGGTCAATAACTCAGCTGCTTTTGGTATTCCTCAGGGTTCTCATTAAAGTAAATTCAAAGATATCTTTAAACCTGCTGCTATCTTGGAGTAGCGATTCGTCACTAGTCCCAAAAACTTGAATAAATTTTTTGTCAAATTCATTTAAAAATTAAAAAATAAATAAATCTTTGTTGTTTAAATTTACGATGGATAGTACTTAACTACACCCAAATAATTAAAAACAACTACTACTGATATGGAAGCTAATCAAACTGAAAAACCACTTATTTTAGTGCATTTTACCCAAAACAATGTCATTCTGATATTGCTATATATATGTGAACATGATAATCAATACTCAGCTGCTTTTGGTATTCCTCAGAATACAATCTAAATTAAGTTCAAAGTGATCTTGAAACCAGCTGTCATCTTGGAGTAGCGATTCGGAACTAGTACCAAACATTTAAGAACTTTTATTTGTCAAATTTATTTGAACGCTTTTAAATTACGTCCTTACTGCCTTAAAATTAAATCCTTGTCGATTAAATTTAGGGAAGACAGTATAGTAGTTAGCTATACCTAAATAATTTATAAGCAATTAGAAACAGCTACTACTATTGGTATGGAAGCTAATCACACTGAATAGAGCTTCAATAATTGGACTGAGTTAACAAGCAGTAGAGGCAATGTTAAGGGTAGCTGATAAAAAACGTTAACTCACATTTAATAATGTATATTTATTTTCAGTTACTATTTCCATATTACACTATGTATATATATATATATATATATATATATATATATATATATATATATATATATATATATATATTATTATTAACTGATAACTTCAATAATTTTTTGCAGTTTAATATATTTTTTTGAAGTTTCTAGTCACATCCTTCAGGTTTGGTGCCATTTTCTCATAATTTTTCATATATCTATTTTAGGCCAAAGGTCACCAAATATACACAGTTTTTTATCTCCAGTATGCTTTATTCAACGTTTCGGCTTCAGGAGCCTCACAATGGTTTGAACGTAGGATACAGCAACATAAACAAAATTGCAGGTCTAAAACGACAAAATAGAAATTAGCCACAACAGGATTATCGCAGCATACCACAAAAAATGGACATAAATTTGATTTCAGTACTGCTTCCTTGTTGCATAGAGAACAGAATATTGGGAAACGTAGAATCATCGAATCCATTTTTATTACTAAAAATCTTAAAACATTCGGTGAACCAACAGACAGATGTTAATAATTTAAACACGTTTTATGCTAGCTCAATAGACAAAATTAATATATAACATACTGATATAAAACAGCTGATCCCTAATCCCTCCACCCCACTCCTTATGTAAGTAAATCCAGTCCTGTATGAATGCCCTATTGAGGAACAACAATTTCTTAATACCGTCTGCAAATAGAGGTATATAAATCAAAAATTAATAGTATTCTTTTTTAAAATTAATTATAACAATCTATTTTAATTTATTATTTATGTATTACAATTTTTAGAAATGGAAAACGACATTCTTTGAAATAAAAGAATGAATTAAGGACGAATCATATCGCAATGATAGATTTTTAAAAATTTTACGGCGCGGTGCATGGTAGGTGGATGATATAAATTTATTCAAAATTAAAAATAAATTTTGGACTAATTGTATTACTTGTGATTGTTAAATAATATGTGTCTGATAAGGATGTATTTGAATGGTAAAAACTAAATTAAAATTAGTTTTGCAGGATCTTGAAAATGTCTTCTGAAGCCGAAACGTTGAATAAAGCATACAGGAGATAAAAAACTGTGTATATTTGGTGACCTTTGGCCTAAAATAGATATATGAAAAATTATATTTATAAGGTTGGCAGTATTTACTACTATTATATAGTTTGAAAATGTCTAGTATAAGTATATATACATTTTTTTTTCCAGAATTAAAGAAGTTACCTCCACACAGAATTGGTCAGAGTCTTTGTACTCTTGAGACAAGAAGTTAGCTAAGCTGAGTCAGTTAATTATATGTTTGGGCGTATTTTATTTATTTATCTTAAATTTATCGATGTGAAAAGGCATCATTATTTATTTGTTTGATTGAAGGGATTAACATTATTATAAGATGTAGAATTCTTTGGAAGAAATTAATAATAATCAATTCAATGAAACATCTTAAACTATGAAATGGGTCGAGTACAAATTGACTATCGTCATTTAGTTATCCCTGGCTGTCCTTAAAGCCTATTTCTGATAAAAACTATAACTTAAGCAACTATATTTAAATTCAAATTCATCAATAAAATTTTTTTTTAGTAAAATCAGTATTTCATATCCATTAAATTGAATCAATTTTATAAATAAATTGATTGAATTATAAATATAACTGTTAATATTAACTTTTCTTTTCTTTATTTAAAGTATTAAGTATTCCATTGTCTACTCTCACATTTTTTGAAATATTTTATTTAGTTACTGAAGTAGTCATACAATTTTAAAAGTCTCAGTAAAATTAAAATTATTAGAAAAGTTTCTTTATGTTTCAAGTAAATAAGGAAAAGTTGTCCAAGAAATTTTGTTATTTCAGAATCGTATTCTGTCAAGTTCTAGAATATTAAGTTAGTAGACACTTTGATTTATTGTTCCTTCTGGCTTGACTTTTGCTTGCCTTGCTTGTTTCACATTGGAACTACCTAAGCAAGCAATGTTATTCGTCTCTCAGCTGAACCACGACTATGCTAAAATTAAACTCTTGAACACAAAATCAAACAGGAGTATTCCTCAGAATGTGGGCATAACCTTTTGATTATGGCTATATACTAAAATAAAAAAAAAAAGTATATCTGTTTCAAGATTTGTTGGTCTGTATTCCTATTAACTTAGTTTTTTAATGTATTAAAAACATAATTAATGATGTCTCTTAAGATAAAAAATATATCAGAATATTCCTCTACAATGTTTTGAAATAAGTTTTCTTAAAACTAGATAAGTTACTGATGAGATAATAAATAATATTCCTTGAAATAAGAAGTAAATAGATATTTGTTCATTAAACTATGTTGTTTTTACTTTATTTAATTGTACAAAATGAAATTATTAGTTTAAAAAAAAGTCATTGATCTATTCTATTTTTGATGGTTGTTTTTATGCTCTTTTGTTGGCTTTGCTTTCATTTTGTTGATTAATTATTTACTGATTTATAATTTTTACAAAATTCAATGGATTCAGATCAAATAACATAGTAGAAATTATTTTTTTAAATTTAGGTTGAAATTGAAAAGACATGTTTTTTAATAGAGATGTGAATAACTACAATAACACCTGACTTGTTATAAAAAACAATAAATATTATTATTTTTTACTTTTTTTTCATGTTTACCTCTTGAACTCTCAATACAGTTATAGACAAACAATCTTGTATTGTACACCACACTAAACACAACATATCAATAAGTGATCATAAGATACTATATCCAGTTTTGTTTGTTTTATTTCTAATAGAAATAATCCCTTACTATCCCAAGCAACAAATTATGATTATTTATTCAATTATTGTACTAGTTCTTAGCGACAGACTTGACATTTATTTGTCTGTACACTGTTATTATTCTTAAGGGAACTTGTCCTAGAATGAAGTTGATTTTTCTATTCTATTCAATAATATGAAAAATCTGGTGCACTTACCGCTCTGCTTTGAATAGAAATTATTTTCTGGCAATGTTGGGCTATTATAAAATTTTCGAAGTGCATTTTAAACGGAGCTAAAGCTTTAAAAGCTTACAGATAACAAATGATTAAGACCATTAAAATTACTTAATACCAGGCCAAAAAGCTTCATCCAGGAGGAATTTGAATGTTCATTAGAAGATGGATTAAATTATCCTTTACTTTTTAACTTGCCCTCCTAATACAAGTTATTAAATATTCTCACAAATGAAATTATTTTTATTTTTTTAAATATCTCTAAGTAGCGTGAGAATAAGTTCAGAATTTTGGGATTGATGGGACTGTTACAATTGATTTCTATCTACAAACTAGTTTAAAAAAATTATGTATTTTATATAACAAAAAAACATTAGAAGCTTGAACTGAATTTTTGTTCATTGTTTTAAAATAATATAAATATAAAATAAAAATTAAATATATAGAGAAAAAAATTACATATTTTTTAAAAAATATAAAAATAATAAAAACAAAAGTTTTTCATAAAATTTGAATATTCTATTCTCAACTTAAGTTTCAATATCAACCATAAAATATTCTTATTTTAAAGAAATGCATACACTTCATACAAGGGAATATTTTTTTTGGAAGGGGGGGAGTGGATGGAAGAGTTGGGTGTTTTCATAAATTCCCAATACAAATAAAGAGTTGGGAAAACAATGGGCTGGTAAACTAAGAACCAAAATTAGCTTATTTTGTATGCTATGATATTTCATAACTGTCTAAAACTACATTGATTTTGGATTTGCATCTCTATTAGAGTGTAAAAATTGCAGAAAAAAAAAAAAATAGTAACAAATATATAGCGAGGTAGTCTCTGAATAAAATAACTTGTTTTTGAACCAAGTGAAAATTTCACAAGGTTGACAATCATAATTTCCCCTCTATTAATTGATGTAGCTGTTTACTTTTTTTGTTTGATTATTTTCATGAATGTCTCTCTTTATAATGTTAGCAACTTTATGTCTTAATATTGCACCCTAACGAGATCAGGAAAACTAATCCTTATAATCTTCCATAAAGGCCTCAATTTCTTGGTGAAATATTAATTTCCCTGACCATCACTCTCTTTTTTTCTATATCTCTTATCATAAATAATTAATGTCATAATTTCACTAACACAAAGAATTTCCTTGATAAACACTACTTTATCATATATCAGAGTGCTTTTATAAATGAAAAAATCATGTTAACTTAACATTATTAGCACTTAAATGTAACATGTTCTACATAACTCTGAAAACGGTACTGAAACATTTCAAAATCTTTATCAAGACCTGAATTGTTAATAAAATTGATGATCTTGAACTGGTTCTCTAACTTTTTAGCGATTATATACCATTCTCTGTTTATTAAGACTGGATTGCGTACAGCATACTCCTCGCTAAATGTAACAAACTTGATGGAATGGTCTCTTAAATGTTTAAGGACAGGAATAACCTGTTCCTTCACCATTAACTTGCTGATTTCTCTGTCTTTTCTTACCAGAGAGTACAATCGATCTTTAGAGACATCAACAATTTTAACTGTCTCTTGGTATGCATTGGGTGTGGAATTCGTGAATGGATTCATGATTGTAGCAGCTTCTTCAAGAGCATCAAGTTCATCACTTGTGCACATTAATTCAGACCAGAGGCATGAAATGATCTGCCTGGGTGGAAACAAGGACATCAATGTAGATTCTTCATGGAGAAAAATTAGTGATGAATAGGGGTTCAAGATGTCAGCGTCAGGCTTTGCTGTTAAAGCATTAGCAAATTTGCTTGCATCGTGCCTGATCAATGGACATTCATCCTGAAGAAGGGTCACTCCAGCCTCCCAAAGTTTGGCACGTAGGTTGAGGCAATCCTCGGTGGCAGATTCTAACATAATCGGTGCCAAAAGGACTAAACCTTTTACAGCATAACGTCTACAGTCAAGGTTATTAGTAGGACTGCAAGATGAACATAACTTCGTGACAACTTTATCTACTAATTTGGAATCAATATCTTTTTTAAATCGTACTAATCCACACATAACTGCAATTCCAACATGACAGTCGTCAGAAATGAGATTCTCTATCAAGCTGTCAACGTTAAGATTGATGGGTGTTATTTCATACCTACACATAATCTCCAAAATCACTTCAAGAGCTTTGTGTGTGTCTCGGGCAGTAAGCTGATTTGTTACAAATCTAAAGAGTGAATTGACTGCTCCATTGGATACTGCTTCAAATTCCAACTTGGTTATCCTCCTTTCAATGCCTGTCAGACAGGATTCTATGATCTCCAAGTTGTTTGAATTGATGGCAATATTGAGTGTGGGGAGTAATTCACTGAGAGGACAGGTTTCAATAATCTGCTGAGAATTTAGACAAATCCACTGTGGCAAGCCCAGGTCCTTATGGGTCGGTGATTGTAGCAAAAGTAGGTCTTCCATCTGTTTAGTAGCAGACACTGAGAAATCGTAACCACAAAGTTCTTTCAAAATACAACGGCATAAATATGAAATTTTCGGAGAATTCTGAATAGGTTTTAATTCTTCTAATGATTCTTTAATGACTTCAGCTTGTGAACGCAATGCCTTCATACCTTCCTTCTCTTCATTAAACTTAGTAACTAAAAACTTAGTGTTAAGTAGAAAACCGTGAAGTTCATTTTCAGATTTGATCTCATTCTCCAAAGTGGGGTCATTGACATAAGCAACTATTTTCCAAACACGTGTTCTAACCAAGTTGCCTATCTGACTAACGCTGCAAAACCATGCATTAGCTTTAGCAGCCAATTCACGCACCTTACATACACGACTTGACATTAATAGCTGAAATGAACCAACAAATTTGTGAAACACACCTTCCAAAGATCTGTCTATTATCGTCAGAAGGCCTACAGATAGGTTGGACAAAAGTGTGAGAACTGGGACAAGCTTAGAATGCATCAAGAGAGCCTCGTTCGGAGGAGCAGAGGTTGCAGTTTCAAGGCAGTCGAGAATCGTGTTGACGAGAGGCATACAGTGGTAGTATAGCTCTTCATAAGCCAAATGGTAACAGCTACAGCTTTTGTCCTCACCATTTTGTTTTTTCTGCCCGACCAATTTAGGAACAATAGAACCAAACAATTGAAGTGCAGCATTCCTAAAACAAAAAAAATCACTCAGGCCTTAAATGATTTAAAAAAAAAAATATTTTTATTAAAAATTTTGATATTTTATTTTAAAAATACTCAAGGGATTATAAACAACTTATGAAACAAACAACTATAACCAAATAAATTAGACTGAATTTATTATTACTGGTATTATTGGATAAAATGAAAATCCTACATACTGATAGCTGGACTAAACAAGTTAATAAAAACAGCTTTTTACCCACAACAAGCATGGCAGAAAACATTAAGCAATTAATTAATTATATTACTTAATTGTAATTAATAGAAATAAATATATTTGATGACAGAATTAATGGGTAAAACCCCCAGTTTTTGGCACCATAAAGGTATAAATGAGTTTATCCCGTTTTCAGTCACGTTGATACTTAGTTATGTTAATTCAGTAAAGATCTCTAATTTAAAAATATATATGTGGTAACAGTGTCTTTCATTTATTTTCTTATAGTAAAATGAAAAAATATCCGTATTTTTCAGTTCTTGGCAACATTTTTTCAGATTTCAGCGCCATGAAGTACCAGTTTTCGGCACCCCTTACCCATTTTTCAAAAACCTAAAGAATTAAATCTGACAACCTTCAGAATGAAAGAACTACAACAATATTGTGCAGGAATGTGTGTTCTTGCAATAAACGTAAGACGTATCCTTCCTGAGCAACACCTATTTGGTTTCTAATCTTCAGCAATTTTTTCGACCTATAGAACTAAATAATTAGTGAGAAATGCTCTAAAGTATGCGAGCGCAGGAGGGATTCCTGCTTTAAATGAGTGCATTTCACCAATTCTAGGCCATTCCCAATGCTTAATATTGTTCAATAACTGCAGTAGATGCCGACAACTGAGGGTTTTACTCTAATAGACAACTGAAGTATGGAAATGCTAATGATTCTAAGTGCCTTCGGCGATATTGAAATCACTGATTTGTTTGGCTTCTATGGATTACAAGTCTATGTGCTTTTTAAAATATCATAACTGTTGAATATTTTTCATGCTGAAACTTGAATTATCAAATAATTTGCTGAAGGTACTTAGATTCTGTTATATTTCCATGCTTCAGTTGTTATGACTAACTGATGAAGTTTCTAGTAAAAGATGGAAAGTTTAAACAATAATAATAAAACAGTACAATCAATAATAATTGTTAGTTACAACAATAATTTTAATTAACAAAAGGATGCACAAAGGACTGTGCCAAGGGGATTGCTTGGCATGTCTCCTATTTAACATTTAACATTGCCCTAGAATATGCAGTTACGAAATTACAAAGTCAGGTCAGTGGAATGGTTTTTAATCATTCAGTACAACCGTTAGAGTTTGCTGATGACATTACAATGGTTGGAAGATCACTAACAGCCATAAAGAAAGCCTTAAGAGCTACAGTAAGAGTTGGCTTAAATATAAATGTGAATAAAACTAAGACAATCTCAAAATAAATTAGGATTCAGAAAAAAAAATAGGTTTTTGCCATTATAAAATTAATAGGGGATGACAAAAATATTTTATATAAAAAATCAGAAAGAGGGGGGAGGAATAAAACAATGAAATTGATTATATAATACTTAAAAAGTTAAATATATATAAAAAATTTTTCCCCGGTATTTCTACATTCACATATATGAAGAAGTGAAAATTCAAACAGCCAACAAGATACAAATCGCCTAATTTCTTTGAAATGAGACAGATCAACATCGTTATTTGAGGTAAATTCAAAGTTACGAAAGTACTAGATTAATTTTGCTACAATTTAGTATCTAATAAAAAATGGGATGATTTTAGTTTATACAAGTAACTTAAAAATTAACAATAGATCTGCACCTACCTGACAGGCCAGCTGGAATGGGAGAGGCAGGCAAACGCAGCTGGGGTGATGCGGTGGAGGTACCTAGCGGTGTCTTGGCTGAGGGAGGAATCCTTCAAGAGCGACGTCAGGATATGTAAACACTGAGCGAGGTCACCAGTCTTTCTCTCTACCAGGCTTAGAATGTGGCTTAATGCCTTGTCCACCATCGGCTGTATAAGAATCAATATAGTTAGTTATCAACAAATTCCTTCAAAGGGCATAAGAGTTAATGTTATTAATAACTAATATATGAATAATGCCATAGTCCAATCAGTTTATTTATGTCTACTTTTTATTTTTTATGGTATTGTACTGTACTTAGCACTAAAAGTTTTTCCATCAATAATTGTTTTTGTTTAATACTAATAACAATTTACATACATGATTTAATTAATTGTAAACTAAGTATTTTTAAATTGTTAAGTTCAGGTTCACTAAAGGATAAGTGGCATACCTTGCCCATTGGTAGCCAAGAGTTCATTTATTTAAATGCCTCCTAAACAAAAACTAAAATAAAATAACATTGTTATCTGATAAAAAAAAAAAATGTCAGCTAAGATGATCAGTATAACTTCCACATCATTTCTATGAAGCAAATAACGAAACACAACATAAATTTACAGTTTTAATTGTTAATTTTTATTTGTTTAGAAAAAATGAATCCCTCTCTTTAACATCTTTATATTTATATTGTTTTAATCTTAGAATTTGATGTTATAATTTTAAACAAATTTAGTTTATAAATATAATTATTTTCTTCAGGTATTCCTGAAAGTTTTATTTTCTATTTTCTGGCTGTTATAAGGTCCATGCGAATAATTTGCATAAAATAATGGTCAGTGAATAACTGATAAAATAGTATGAAAATATGTTCATGCAATGTATTATGAGCTGGAGAAATTCGTTTTTTTTTTTCTTGGTCGAATTAAAATGGTCAATTCATAATAATAAACCAAAACATTTGTACAGTTTACTGTAGTCTATATCTTTGCTCACAATGGCTCCATTTCGATATTTTTTTTTATTTTGTAACCTTTTAATTATTCATGGATTTAATATACCACCATAAATTGCATACTTTTTCTGTTACGGCCAAATGATGTTAGTTTTTATTTTTAACATTTTTTTCTCTGAGATGTTGGGGGGTTTTTACTAATGGAAACAGACAATCTTTAAAATGATTGTACGATAACTGGAACTAAGGAAGATTTGGTGAAATAAAATATGGTATATATTCTATTAATTTCTAACAATGAGGACTTTCCAAGTACTTAAGGGTCATTTTAGCTCTCACACGATATTTTTATATTACACAATACAAAAATTAACTTCTTCTGTTCATTTTTCCTACTTTTGGTGTCTTGAAGTTTTTTTATTTGTTACAATAAATTAGGCCATTTTTCACCAACCTTTTATTATTACGCATCAATTTAACGTTTCGACCATACTAAGGGTCATTTTCAAAACTTGATGAGTCCTCCTAATATGTTCATCCTTAATGTTGTAAATAATAAGTTCAGTGAACATTACTTGTCAATTTTTATAGGTGCTTCCATTTCTGGAGGGACTGAAGAAATGATCGCCTCCAGAAATGACGTAGGCGAAGCACCTATAAAAATTGACAAGTAATGTTCACTGAACTTATTATTTAGAACATTAAAGATGAACATATTAGGAATACTCATCAGGTTTTGAAAATGACCCTTAGTATGGTCGAAACGTTAAATTGATGCGTAATAATAAAAGGTTGGTGAAAAATGGCCTAACTTATTGTAACAAATAAAAAAACAAAAATTAGCAGTATACTTGAAGGTATAAAATGTTAAAACATTAACATTTACAAAAAAAAAATTGTTATTGTTGTTGGTTTTTTGAATAAATAAAAACAATTTGTTGCCATCCTTATGTAGTTTTTCAAAATTTCAGCAATATTGTTTTCCATTTCCACTTTATTCTTCATAGGCACAACGCTCAATCTAGATGTGCATCGCCATGCATATTTACCCCGCAAGAAAGACATTCAGGGAATGGATGCTCAGTTTGTCATTAGGTGTTCATGTGTTAGTCTTGAGTGTCCGATTCGTAGTCTTGCTATAATAATCTCTTCGATTCTTTTCAACTGGAGGTGGTCTCGATTTGTACCTACTAGATTTTGTAATTTTTATATGGTTTCGGAATTCATGACAACAGCAGTATCAAGATTAACTATCGCAAGTATAAGGTTGGGCTAATGAGTTAACTGGACAACTGTAAATTTTAGAGCTTTAAAAGGCAATTAATTAATCTTAAAAATTGGCAAAGCTATCCTTAAGTATATGAAATTTCGGGAGTACTTTTCAATAACCATAAGTACAAAAATGATGATTAATATTATATAACATTTATTTGAAAACAATATTAGAAGTAATAATACACAAATTACAACAGGTTGTTTTTTTGTAAATAATGGTCTGATTTCGCTGTTTTTTTTCGTTTTGTAGTGAATTTAGTAAATTTTCAAATAATCATGGGTCAAATCTAGAAAAAAAATGTATATTTTTTATGTAATTCGCAAATAAATTTTCTTTTCATTCATAACTTTTTTCATAAAATTTTGGGTGAGTATTATTATGATTCATTAGCCGTGTCACTGTTCCATTTAATACCCTTTCGTTTGATACCTCATTCATCAAAATACATCACTCCTAAGAGCCGGAAAAGGGATTGTATTATATATAAAGATAGATACTTCATTGTGAAGTATCTCATACTTCACAATGAAATGTCCTTAAGTTCACAATCAATAAAAACATTTTTATGTACTATCTTAAAATGTAAAAAGTATTATAGTACATATTAACATTAAAGTAACACAATACATATTTATACATACATCTTAATAATTTAAATAAATAAAGAAGAAAAATTAAAATAATAACTAATAAAATAAGTTTTTTTTCATATTTAAGGCAATAATACTTCCACTTTTTTTTCAAATTCTTTTAATTACATTTGTTACCTCTAACATTTTGGGACAATTTTCCCATCATCAGAGCAATCTTCACTTTTTTTTTTTGATGCGGCACCATTTATCAAAAATCAAATATTTGTCACATTTTTTAAAACTATTTTTTGGTGTTACACATTTTTTCATATTCATTGATACACTAATGTCATCAAGAAATGTATCATTGATACATTCGATTAGTGTATCAATGAATATGAAAAGCTGTGTAACACCAAAAAATAGTTTTAAAAAATGTGACAAATATTTGATTTTTGACAAATGGTGACACATCAAAAAAAGAAAGTGAAGATAAATATTGCTCTGATGATGGGAAAATTGTCCCGAAACGTTAGAGATAACAAATGTAATAATAAGAATTTGAAAAAAATTGGAAGTATTATTGCCTTAAATATGAAAAAATTATAAACATAGGCTTCCTAATAAAAAAAAAAATAAATAAATTAAGAACTAGATAATATAAAATTTATGAAAAATATTTACTATAAGAATGCAGTATAAAACTAATAGTAAATCATAATATAGAACTTCAATGAAAATTTTGGGCCAACAAATAAATAAAAAAATACTAAATCAATTAAAAGAAACTTAGACTGAATAAATTACGTTAAACAATGCATAATTGCAATAAACTGATAGGATATATGCATATATCCAGTGCCGGCTGCCTTAGGGCCTGGGCAGCCAGGACAATTGTCCGGGAGCGCCGACCTAAAATGTAATCAGTGCGGCCACTACTTCTTAGGAATTAAGAAAGCAACTGAATTAAATATATATTAAATGAAATAAAATTGAAATTACTTAACATAAAACAGCTTAAAAAATAAATTCTTTGGTGGGAGATCAAATCATAGTCCATGATGATGCGATGATACCAAATGTCTAAGGCCAGCACCGCATATATCATAGATTGTAGTAAAACATCTTATGGACAATAGATTTGCTTTTAAAACTACAATTGTCCAAGTTTGATGTAAATCCATTAGCAATATTTTTGATAAGGTAATATATTTTTCAAATTTGAACTTTTTACTGTTTCTAAAAATATTGAAAGTTCAGTTCTGTTTCATTGGGTTTCAGTCATCAGGAAGTCTACGATATTTTGTTTCAGTGTTATAATTATAAACTTGTTAGTTATTTCTTCATGTAGCATAGAAATCTAAAAGATTTTAGCTAGCATACAAGATGTGCCATTAGCTATTGTTCTATATCCTTTAATGAATTTAATGGCTAGCAATTTTTGGATGGATTTAAGTTTTTAAAAATTCTTTAGATGAAAATCTATTTTGCCAAATTTCTATTGCATATGCCATGGTAAGCTAAATAGGCTCTGGATTACTTATGAACAATGTATATGAGTTTTCATAATCTATTATAGCATTTTATGTTAAACTCTCATCTATTATATATTATACTTCTCACACATCAATAATTCGAGCACCCCTCAATGTGAACAGTTGTTTCAGCTATTATACAAATATTGAAATATAAATATAGTTTGAAAAGATCTGAAACAGCTTTCTTTTTCAAATTATTTATTTCTTATATTGATAAATGAGTAGTAAGGTGGGGGTCGAGTGAAATTAATACAATTATAATAAAAAGAAGACTAACAGCTCTTAATAATAATATTAAAGCAATAACTGACCCGTCCAGTCCTGGAGTCACTGGCCACCAAGCGATGGACCAACACAACTCCTCCAGCACCCCTGCTGCTCTGTGTTTGCCCAGCACTTAGCCTGTCCAGAGCCTGGCAAAGCGGCAGTTCTCCTTCAGATGGTTTGTTTTTAGTGACTTCAGCGAGCGCTTGTCCTGCTGACTCCACTGCACCCTTGTGGCGACAATGTCTCAACACTCTCACTGAGTTTTCACAGCCGCTCAGCTTTGACGATAATGCACAGCATGCCTTCGAGAAAGATGTAGTATTAATAACTTTCTTATTTTATTTGATCTTTGTATATTAACTAACTATTTTTTTAAAAAATGGTTATAAGAAAATTGAAATAATAATAATTAATTATAAAAATAAATAAAAGAGAGGACTTGTTTAGTTCAAAATTAAAAAAAGCAAAACTCACATTTTTGTAGTAATAGAAAAAGAAAATAGATCAAAGGATAAAGTATATCCAGAGAATATAATTTCCTGAAGTATATTACAAGGAAAAGCTTTTATTAAATACAGTTAACAGTAATAAAACAAAAAGGAAGTTATTGATTCATTTATTTTAATATTCTACAATATTTGTACCTGCGGGGTAGAGCATGTAGCAAATTTGATGTACTGATTATTATCAGCTAATTTGCTTGGTACAGTTTAATTTTGTTATTATTGGAGGAGTAGGTCTCTTGGTCATTTTCATTTTAATCTGCGTCAAGCAGGTAACAGAGAAGAAAGGAAATTGAGAGAACTAGTCAATTTCGAGTTGAAATGAAAAATTCACTCTTTGTTAAAAAAGAGATTCTGACAATCTCACTTCTGCAGTTACCTTAATTGCTGTGAAACTCTTTTGTTTTATATTATTTAATTGAGATGAATGTGAATTAAGAGCTCTTGGCAACAGCTACATTTTATATTTTTTTGTGGGATGAATTAGTGTTCAATAAATTGAAATTATAATCAATAACTAGAATATTTTTTCCAATAAAAATTCAAGATTTCTAAAAAAATTTCGATATACAGAAGTTTGAATGTAATTCATTAATAATCTTCATTACAGAAGCTTAAGCACTCTCTCTACTGTTTTTGAGGCAGAAGTATTTGCTATCTTGGTAGTAGCTACAAGCAAAGAAGTTATTGAATGTGACAAAGCCGGCATAGTTATCTATTCTGATAGCTGGACAGCTCTTCAGGCTTTAGAATTTCCAAGACGATCTCCACTCTTGTGAGGGAGTGCAGACAAGCCATAGAGAGCATTACCAGCAGAAAAATGGTGCAGCTGGGTTGGGTTTCTGGTCATGCGGAGATCTCTGATAATGAGGAAGCAGATAAACTAGTTAGGAAAGGCGCAGAGATTGCCCTTACTAGACCAGAACTTGAATTAGGCATCTCCAAAAGAGATCAAATGAAAATAAATCCTTGATTGGTCATGGAAGGAAGCTGGTAAGAAATGGAATAAATGTGTGGGCCTAGGGCAAGATAAGTGATTCATTAAAAAAAAAAAAAACCAGAACCAAGGGGCTGCTTGGTCAAAACAAAAATGAACTATGATTAACTATCAGAACCCTGACAGGCTATTGCAGACTTAAAAGACATTTAAAGATCTGTGGGGTTGTACAGGACAAAACCAGCCAATAGTGCAGGAAGATCCCACACTATGTAGCAGAATGCGAATGGTTTGGGTCGCTCAGGTACAGCATTCTAGGTTCATGGGGTGGGGTGGCCGAATGGACTAAAGCATGTGCACAGCACCGCGAGTTGCCTGGCAACCAGATAACGGATTTGAGAGATTAAAAAGTACGAGTTCGCGTCCCGGTGCCGGAGGGATTTTAAATTCCCGCCCTCACCCCGTGGTCCTGGAAAATCCTGTATAGCCTAAAAGGAGAGGTAAGAAAGGACAGAGGAAAAAAAAATATAGAACAGAAGGTTTCCTCCATCAATTGGCTGTCCCTTCTAAATTTCATTATGAAAACCAAAAGGTTTGAGATAGAGGATAAATAGACTTTCGTTCTCCCCTCTTTACTAGTACGAGTAACAGTACAGGAGCTTAATTTAATGTTATTGTTAGAATGATTAATTGTGACATTAACAACCTTCAAGTTAGTCCATATAGAATTGAGCACCAACTGGTGTGCAGGAGATAGGTGGAGTTTGTCACTTTCTTCAACGCTTACAGTTGACTCTTGGATAGTGTTCTCAATTTCTTCTCCCATCTCTCGAAACGAAGGAGCATAATCTGAAATAAGAGACTTTTATCGTCAACTTTTATGCTTTTAATCAATAGAATTTATTAAAATGTTTGGAGATTATTATACCTGTGATACTAGTTGACTTAGAAGCCAGTATCTGGAGCAGATGTCTTACCATCTCATCAACCATAGAGTTGAGCCTGCTTAGTTGAGACTGGTCCAGGGATTGGAACTCAGGACTAGATGGGTCAGTGAGCAGGCGGTAAAGGGCCTGGAGAAGACCATACAGAGGAGAACCAGAAGTTGTCGCCTTCAAAAGGTCTGTACGCAGCTCATTACTTTGTGCCTCGGCAAGGTTCAGGAGAGATTCACTGACACTCTCAGTCTTCACATCTAATGCTAAAGATATCAAACAAAACAAATGAATTAGGAGTGGGAAAAATAAGTACATCTTCAGAAAATATTTGGTCAGTAGCATCATTAAAATTGTTTGAACAAACCAAATACAAAAATGATAAATGTTTCCATTTAAAAGTGTTTTTATCTTCTTAATTCCGTTGAAAACCTAATTTTAAAAAATATGGAGTGAGGACATAACAACAAAGGTCACCACATAAGACTTTGTTTAATTACAGATACACAACATTGTCATGGATTATGAGCGATCCAAGATAGAAAAAATCAAGAACCTTTTTCATAGGTATATTTCTAATTAATATTCTCCTAGGAATTTCTTCAGTGACCATGTATTTGATCTTTGCAGCTATCACTGTAAGCCCCATTTTTCTTGCTGCTTCTCCTAATTTTAAAAATTCACCAATTTCTATTGTATGAATTTGTATGAAAGAAGTTGTACCTTTCAGTACTTTACCACAACTGCATCATACATCACAGTCTAACAGATTGGGCCCTTTTAGCAAAAGATAAATCTCTTTCGCTTTCTGGAAAATGTTTGAAAATACTGTCGTTAAAAGTACATTTGGAGACACTAAAATAAAAAATCAACTAACAGTAATTTTTATTGGTACAAATAATATTTAAAAAAAACTATCACATTATGAAATGGTTGAATTGCTTAAAAATATATAAATATCTTAGATTGTAAATTCTGTGTCCTCCTTCCGAGTACCAAAGTGCTGAACCGTTGATAGAAGAACCAAGTAAAGAGGAAGTTGAAGTAGCTATCGGAAAATTAAAATCTTATAAAGCAGCGGGAACCGATAATATACCTACTGAACTAATTAAGGCATGCGGGGAAGTTAAAGTGTCCAAAATATATTTGTTGGTTAAAAAGATCTAGGAGAACGAGAAATTACCTGAAGAATGGAAAGAATCTATTCTTATTCCGATTCACAAAAAGGGCCCGAGGACGGATTGTAATAACTATCGAGGAATTTCACTCCTTCCGGTATGTTATAAAATATTCACTTTAATATTAACTAGTAGAATCATGGAATATGCCGAGGAAATTATCAGAGACTACCAATGCAGATTTCGATGGAATCGTTCGACTATTGATCAAATATTTTCTTTACAACAAATATTAGAGAAAAAAATAGAGTACAATGGTATTGTTCACCAGCTGTATATCGATTTCAAAAAGGCTTACGATTCTTTTGACCACCAGAAACTGTATAATATTCTAATCGAGCAGGGGATTCCCAAAAAACTAGTAAATCTAGTCAGGATGTGCTTGACGGGAATACTCAATAAAGTTAGAATCGGTAATAATCTGTCCGAACAGTTTGAGATTCAGTCGGGTTTGAAACAAGGGGATTCCCTTTCGCCTGTCCTATTCAATTTGGCATTAGGGAGGTAATGCGTGCTGAAAAAGGGTTGGATCTGGGTGGGACAACATTTGTGCTGGGCTATGCGGATGATTTGGTACTGTTAAGCGAAGACGTGGAAACTATAAAACTAAATACGACAACGTTAATGAAAGCCAGTAAAGAACTAGGGCTCAAAATAAACACGAATAAGACGAAATATATGGTTAGCTGCAAAAATGGCGATATTACTGGTGATATCGATATAGATGGTAATATGTTTGAACAGGTAGAGAAATTTAGGTATCTAGGATCTACGATAACTAGAAAAAACGAAATTGAAGAGATTAAGGCTAGGCTGAAGGGGGGAAATGCTTGTTATTTCTCTGTGACAAAACTACTTAGCTCGTGCCTCTTGTCCCGCAACTTAAAAATTAGAATCTATAAAACCATTGTCTTGCCTACAGTTCTTTATGGTTGCGAAACGTGGCCGCTTACATTAAGGGATGAGCAACGACTTAAGGTTGTTGAAAATAAAGTAATGCGTAGAATATTCGGACCAAAGAAGGATGAATTAACCGGAGAATTCAGACGGTTACACAACGCCGAATTGCGTGAACTATATCCGAGTAATATAATTGAGGTGATTTCATCCCGGCGTATCAAATGGACCTGTAAAATTGTTTGGCTTAGTAACGAGAGAATTCCTAAAAGGTTAATATTTGCTGTACCGAGTAAATATCAATTATATATATATATATATATATATATATATATATATATATATATATATATATATATATATATATCTAAAATTTTAGAAAAACTCTTGAAGTGTTCATTAAAGATTTAAAAAAAAAAACTAATAAAACACACTTATCTGCAGAAAATTTAATCAAACCTCTATTAATTTAAACCATTCTGGGACTGATAGAAAATTTGTAACTATTTTCTAGACTGTACTATTCCAATTAATAACTAGGAAATGATAACCAGTAACAAAGTTAGCTCAACAACAACCAACTGAAAGTAGATAATTAAATTAATATAATTTAATATTTTACCTTTAGGCCCAACGCCAGCCTTGTAGGTGAGGCAGACCAAGACATAGATTAGGAGAGCACCAGCATCAGCATTATAAAACATCATATCAGAACATAGGCCGAGGCCCTTCCGATAGAGTTCAGCGAACCTCGGCCCTTCACCCTCGCCCATTTTAAAGAAACAAGTCAAGATTTCAGCAGCTGTCTCTCTCACATCTTCTGAAGGGTCACTGATACAGTACAAAAGGATCTCACGACTGCGATCAGAAGTGAAGCCCCACTTGTTGGCACCTATAGCATACTTCATCAGGCGGTGGCCCTCAGTTTTCAGGTTGCTCTTCCGCTGGTTGTGGTTGTTTTCATTAGCTAAATAGTTCAATACAATTTTGTACAACTCTAATGATGCTATTTTTCTCTGATAATTGACTCCAATTTCAAGGTTTGACTTAAGGAAATTATATAGCCATTCCAAAAATGTCATGCTTCGCGTCAGAGCACGGTTCTCAAACTGAGGATCATGCTGGTACTTAGTCTTAAGTAAATGAACTGATGCATCTCTCACACGACAGAGGAAGGAGGTGAAACTGTTCAGAATACTCTGTCTCAGAGCCTGATTGTCCGAATTAATATTTTCATTGAGGAATGTCTCAACTGCAATAAATTCATCATCCGTAGGAACGATTGATGTTTTCGATGACACACAAACAGTAGAGAAGCTCTGGGCTCTAACCAATGGATCATGGTGTTTGAGTCCTCTGAGGAGATAAGTACAGTTACAGATGTTCTGCCAAGACATATTATCATAGCCTTCCTTACGTCCAAGCTTCAAGCAGCAAACAACGGGCAGAACAACACTCTCAGATTGTCCTGAAAGTGTGATAGTATCCAACAGAATCTGCAAGGCTATCTTGAATTTCTTTATAGTGCATGGGAGCCAGTAGTTGAAAATATTTTGCTTCTGAAGCCTGGAACACACAGAACTTGTATCAGTCTATTAAAAAGCTAATCATGTCATAAGTTAAGTCCACAGATTGTTTATATAGATACATTTTTTGAAATTTAAATAAAATACAAAGATTAATTATGGCGATTTAAAGTGCAATAAGAATGCATATCAAAAATTATCTGATACAAAAATCAGATTAGTGTTAATTTTGTACTTCTTTGTGCATGATCTTCAGCACAAAGGATTTCTTGAGACATGTTCTTCTTTTCATATTATTGTAGGTATTTACAGATTGTAAATGCCCTAATGATTATTATGAAATTATTCATTAGAAGAAAAATACAACTTTATAAAAAATTTATGATCTTTGGATTATTGAGTTCTCCTGTTTATAATAAAATAATTATTAAGAAAACTTAATATCAGTAAAACATTCTTGAATTTCGTTGATATAAATAAAACAAGCGATGAAGAGTGGGAATCACACTTTTTGATAAGTAATAGTAAAATATTTCATACATACAAGGCCGTTTAAATTCTGTATTAACATAAAACACACGTTATTTTTTAAATAACTGGTGGAAAATGAATGGTTAAAAACTTATAAGGTTGGACACATATATACATGAGATAGGAAACAATAATTTCTCGCTTTAATGAAATAGCAGGATAGAAGAAAGAGGGTGGATATTTTCCTCTCTCATATTAAAAAAATATACGCATGTATACTATGTATACATCTACCGACTATCTATTTGACATACTATAGTAATTATAATAAATATGATTTTATTTGTAATTACGAAATATGAATGATAAAAAAATGATTATAGCTTACACATATTTTGAAGAGATGAGGACATCGGTAATAGGTTTAAGAAAGGTTTGTTCCCATTGGTCGAGAGATATAGAATCAATTATCACTTTGTAAAGATCAGTTCCTGCCGAGGCAAGGTGTGAGTAACTAAGGCTTGCAATCAAACCATAGACAATGTCATCACTTTCCTCAAGTAGAGTCTAAAAATATATAAATCGTATGTATAAAGAAAATTTGTGCAAATAAAGAGAAGAAGTGCAAATAAAGATTATTATTATTATTATTATTTATGCATTCAAATATAAATATATATGTAGATTAATATAATAATCAGTTAAAGAACATAATGAAAGTGCAACAAAATATATAAATCCAGATTAAAAAGGTATTTTTATTTATTATTTATTAAGATATTTATTATTTTTTAAAAGATATGTTTAAAAAATTAAAATAATAACAAATTATTAACCAACAAACGAATAAAGTCGACCACCATAATCTCTTGTTAAGTTATTGAAACAATTTAAATCTATCCTATAAATCTATGACTTAGCATCTCAAATTTGAATACAAAAAGTACAATGAACATAATTAGTTCAATACAAAAAAAGTTAATAATTTTTTTGATTTTTTTTTTTTAATATACCTTGAGAACACCACAACGAGGCAAAAGTGCAGTCAGAAGGAAGTATTTACTTTTCTTCATCCATGAATTTTCTGCAAGAACAAGCTGAAGCAATGCATTAGGTTTGAGGAGAGGTGGGGTATCATCTGAGGTTTCAGCCATCAGTAGCAAATGATTAAATGCAATCGCATTTTGTTCTCTGACTCCATTAAATGGATTCTCCCAATTGGAAATGACAACAGCTGCCATCCTGGACATCAGGTCTTGTGGCATGGGATTCGTCAGGACCTCGCACCGTTTTATCCACGAGACAAGGCTTTTGAAAGCCAAAAGGGTTAAATGAGAATATTGGAAGCAGTGTTTCTCTATCAATGAAAACAATTTCTCTTTGAGGAGCTTTTCCCAAAGAACATGGCCATTGGTCCTGAAAATACAATTAAAAAAAAATTTAGGCATAGTATAATAAGATGGAGTAAAATACATTTACATACAACCATTCTTACATTAAACTACTAGGTACAACATATTGTTATCAAAAGCCAAATTAATAAGAAATAAAATAATGCAACGTATCAAAAGATAAAGAAATCAAATGTTATTTTTTCGATAAATATAATCGACAAATAAAACAAAAATTAATTTAAATTATCATTTTTGTTTGGAACCAACATGTTTACAAATTTCAGTAAGCTGTATCTTTGCTAAAAATTGTCCGATTTCAATGATTATTTTTTCCTTTTGTAGGGAACTAAGTAATCTTTTATATAATCATGGGCATGACCAAGGGAAAAAAGTGTGTAATTTTTTAGTTATTCACAAATAAAGTTTGTTTTCTTTCATAACTTGTTGATGAATCGGAGTGATTGGACTATTTTGCCCGCCTGAAGGAGAAGGAAGCCTTCGAAATTGGTGGCTCAATCTTGAGATTTGGTGAAAAACTGACAATGATATGGCTTGCCGATCAAAAACACCATCGATAAATAATATAAACTCCTCCTCTCTCTCTCTCAAGTCGACGAAATGAGACATGTATTCAATGACAGTACTACAATTAATGTAAGGTTGTGTGGATGCGAACCCTATGCCTTGCGTTATCTCGAAGATAGTACGTTTTTGGGCTTACAAACGCAGGATCCGATAGTTCCAGAGGAACTATCCGGGTCTTGCTGTAAGCATCAAAATCTTCAAGATCCAATTTGTCCTGTATCGATCTATAGACCTACCACTGTTCAAGTATTGAAGCCTAGCAAAATGTATGTATCGACTTATTTATTTTAGAAGAAAGAAACACAAAAGTGGAGAATACGATTCGCTAACAGCCCTTGAAATTCTGAATCCAGCGGTACCCCATTCATGGTATTTGAGCATGACAGGAGCTTATATTTGGTACAAAACCGATTTCGAGCATTACTGTAATAATATATGTACGGACTATCCACTCAAAATTCTTTAAATATTAAATTCATATAGAAAGAAAATAGTTTCGGTCTGAGATAATACATATCAATATAAATTAGAATCAGAATAATATAATTTTCAGTAACTTTAAAATAAACAAAAAAAAAAAGTATCTGTTCCCCACAGAAGAATTAACCAATAAGATGAAAACAATCAAAACATGAGATTCACGATTAACTAGTTAATAATCATTATTTGTTACTCTTTTCTGGTCAGGATACGTTTCTTATTAGATTTATTTAATTATCTAATATATCTATATAGAGAGAGGGAGAGTATTTTTGCTTAACTGAGGAGATATTTTCCTGTAAAGCGATAGAGAAGTGAAAAGAGGGGCGGGAGGAAGCGGTTCCCCTTTCAACATAAAACAAATAAAAAATATAATAGTAACAAGTATAAATAACAAATTTCTGAAAGACTAATTGACAGCGACAAGTTGGTTGTCAGTATTGTAATATTTTTTGAACAATTGGAAAAATACTAATCACAAAAGAAGCACACTGTATACTGAAAAATTGTTATTGTTTGTCTAGCGGGCCGTTTTGAAACCTCACTTCTTATCTATCTTATCTAAGGTCACATCACATAACCTCCCTCTTCTTATCCCGCCAAACAATTGAGTTATTGCATTGTTTAGTTTTCAGTTATTCCCTTATTAAATTCTTTACTTTTGGCCCGTTTGTGTTTATTTTTCATTATTTTTAGTTTTTGGCCCGTTTGTGTTTATTTTAAATTTTTTCTAGTTTGTGGCCCCTTTGTGTTTATTTTTCATTTGTTTTCGTCATATTATGGATCTTCTTTCAATATGGGATTTGCTGCCTTCAGAAGAACAGGCAATTCAATATTTTCAAAATGTTGGGGTACTTGCCGACGTGAAATTGTGTGAACGAGGTCATTGAATGAAGTTAACCAGGAAGGCCAAATGGAGATGCTTTCGTAGGACTTATGACACAAAACTTAAAATAAGGAAAGGAACATGGTTGGAGGGCTCGAGGATTTCATTTTTATGCTTTAAAATTGATTTATGGGTGATTCCATAGCTTGACAACGATGAAGTGGGGCAAAGAGCAGCTGAAACTATCCTATGGACTATGGTAATGTGGAACAATGTCTAAGAGAGGTTTGTGCCCATGACATGTTATACAGGCCAAGACAAAAAATTGGAGGACCTGGCAAAGTGGTTGAAGTAGACGAAAGTCTTTTTTCTAAACGAAAAAATCATGTGGGGAGTTTTACCTCAGCAGTGGATGTTTGGTGGAGTTTGCCAAGAAACAGATGAATGTTTTATCTTATTATAAAACAGATTTAATGTTTTATATTTTTTCTTTTCTATATAAATATGTTCTTTTAAATGTTTTTTTTTTATTATTTCATTTTGATGTTTTATATGTACATATCTTCTTAAAGTGTTTTTTTATTATTTCATTAATATATGTGTCGTCAAATATAAGTATTTTTTTGTTATTACATTTGTTTTTGTATTTGTTTACACCTTCAATAATATGAATTTAATATAATAATACGAAGATATGAAGTAGGAGAAGGCTTATCACTGCATTATGGGAGTATCACTGCATCAGTGTTCAGGTTATAAACATTGGCAGATAGCAGTCAGTAGCGGTCCCCTAGACAAAAAGTACTGGAAAATTTAAAAGAACTACGTCTCTTTTTTAGAGAAAAGTATTTTGAGCTGCCTAGGAAATATTTGAAGCAAGATAATAACTAATTAAGTAAACTGCTACTTCAACATATTTTTCCGACCATGTATACTGAATAGACTTTCTTGATAATATTATATTGTTTATACAAAAGGATGTTTCTGTAATATTACTTACATAAACGTATTTAGGATATGATATGATTAAAAACTGTCGGGACATGATCTCATTTGCCAATTACTAATTTAATACGGTTATAGTCGTAAATAATTAAAATCAATCATACTCACCACAAATTGTCAGTCTGAAGGAGACCATACGTTAGGCAGAGCTTGAATACATCAGGTCGGGTGATGCTGAGAGACAGCTCAGAACTCTTGGATAGTTTGATTCTGAGGTGGTCGTTGGAAGATAGGAAGGTTTTGGAGAACATAAGAGCTATACTGTGAGGTTCTTGGATGAGAGAGAGGATGAGGCAGAAAGTGGAGGATGCTGTAGTTTGTGTGTCAATTGGCAACGTTGTAACCGACAGGCAGTAGAGCAGCAGGTCTGCCAGCTCGGCCAGGCATGGTGGCAGAAGAGCATTTCCCGTCTCCCCCAACCTCGAGGAAGCTATTACCACTCTCTGTAATAGTTGAGAAGTTTATCTTAGGAATTTTGAACTATTTAAGTCATACTTACTACGAAAATAAAATAGCCACCAATAATTTCACATATTTATTTTCATTAATCATTTCTACTCTAATATCAATTTAATTTTATACTCTATCATAAAAAATTTAAGTTGGATTTCACAAAAAATAGAATACTTGAGCAGTCTTGATTGAGATGTCTGGAGGAAGTTAAAATCTGATATGGGAACAGATGCTACAAGCAACTTAGAAATATAGTTCAATAAACAAGGATTCACTATAATTGCACTTTGTATGTTCATATTTTTAAAAACTGCAGCACTTACGAGACAAACGCTCTAAGCTTTTAATCAATTATAAACGACTCATATATATGACAATAATAAGACCTATTTGGACTTACGGAATTGAGCTTTGGGGCTCCACTAAACCATCGAATTCCTCTTGTGTCCAATCCTTACAATCCAAAATCCTTCGTAAAATCCTCAACGCTTCTTACTTTTTCACAAATAAAATCATCAATAAAGACCTTAATGTTCCATATGTTTCCGATTTGGCCCAATCCAGATACCTATCCTTCCATAACAAACTGGAACTACATAACAACCCATAACAAACCATCCGAATCCTCTCATTTCAAACCTTGCTTCCTCCTCGATCCCTGATAACCCTCCGAAGTGTCTGAAAAGAAGATAGCCTCGGGATCTTCTAATATAGAACTTTAATTTGAGTTCTACCAATGGGTAGTTTCTCTTCATGTTGTACATGTCGTGTTACCAATTTCACATTTACTTATTGTATTTTCTATGTAATACAGTTGTAAATTCCATTAAAATAATAAAAATTTTTTTTTTTTAAATATACATGAAAAACAGAATGTGTCATTTTGTTGAAGAATAAACAGCTAACTCATCTATAATCCAAATATGGACTAAATACCAGAACATCGTTTACGTCTTATTGCAATAAAATTTGATATATTCGCTGCAAATAATATTGCTAAAATAAGCAATATAAAAAAAAAATTAATCTAGAAAATAAAATGAAAACGGCGATGAAAAGTACTATTTATATAACAGAACATTAAATCTCAGAAAAAAATCATCAATCTTTTCATGGTTCTTTATTTCTATTGTTTAAAAAATATTTGAATAAACAAACCCTAAATGTATCACAAGGTATTTTATCCACTGCCCTTTCCTCCTTTGCTTGCCTCAAAGTAAGGAGGCAAACATTCAACACACTGCCTACATCTGAGTCACCCATCAGACCTGAAATTAAACAGAATTTTATATAGAATATATAAGGAAATTAAAAATAAATACACATAAATATTCAATTTAAATTCAATATTATATTCATTATTCAATATAAAACATGGACTATTTGGGATAGAACAATCCTAGGCAAACAAATCTTCTATTAACCCCAGGGCTAATGAGAAACAGAATATTATAGTGAAATATCAAAGAATTTTGATGGGAGAGCGAGGGAGGGCAATATATTGTAAGCATTAATGACAAATTTTAAAACAGGGCTTTAAACTTTCATTAAATTTTGTAAAGATTTTTTTTTAAAATAATGTTCTACAAATATTTTTTGTTATAAAGTTCCGCGTTTGTTGTAAAATTTTAACTTTTAATAATTTCAGTTCTTAAAAAATAAGTTACATTTAATGAGAAATAAACAGTAAATGGTGTAAGACATAATTTTTCAAGAAAATATGGAGTAATTTTTCTAATAGGTAGTAATTTGGTAATAAAGTTTATGGTTTTAGGTGACCTGGCATTTAGAGGCCAGAGCCCTTTTAATGTAGTAAAGAACAAATATAATTACTACGAACTTTTAGGTGCTACTAAAATGATAACAAACATTTTATTATTTATACATTATAATTCTCAGAACACAATTAATGGTAATGCAATAATTGAGAATCCCGGCTTCTGAAAATATTTAAAAAATAATAATTAATTAATTACTCACTGTCTGTTTAAAAGTCCTTTGTTTTGGCTTGATTACTATTCTGTCATCTGGTCTGAAGTCTGCATCTGGAATCCTAAAATTAAAGAATGATTTCAGTTAACAAAGTGAGCAGTACAATTAACAAGAAATATCGGAAAGATTATTCTACAGATATTATAACCAATCTATTCTAACCAGAATGGGAAGGTCAAGATTCAATCTTGATCCAAATATAAGCTGAAGAGCTTTATTGTCAAAATTAAGATAAACGTATAATCGGTGTAAAATGTTGATATTACCTGAATTCATGGAAGGTTGTTATAAATAATAAAGCATAAAATTTTATTTGTTACACGTAGATTATGGAAGGGTGGGAGCTAAGTGAGTAAATATTTGCTCCTACCTCATGGACTCAGATTCAAGTCAGGATGTGTGAGATAGTTATTTAATACAATAATGTTTAACCAATAGATGAATTTTTAGTTTCCTTACCACTCATTTTCAAATTTTCATTGGCTGATTTTCAACAAATCTTTATCTTTCAAAGCCCTCTGGACTAAAAAAATATATACAGCAATTGATGTATATGTCTGAGCCACAATTATCTCTTGAACAGATGCATTTTTTTTTTCCCTTCGTTTTGTAATGCAATTTTGGCTCCTGATACCCGTATAATAAAGTCTGTGTGAAACGATTTTTTTCACAATTTTTTACTTTCACTTACCTATATATGAAATATATAGTAAGAAAAAGTATTGCAATCATGAAAAGTTTTGAATTATAGTTTTCAACCGAAATACTAGAGGTCCCATAAGTTTCTTCTTTTTTTTCTTTGTTGTTTAAGGTTGATATACTGTGTTATATATGAACTGTTCAGCTCTATTACCTTCTTCCATCTCTTGGTGAGCCTCTTATTCCCTTTTTCCAAAATTGTTGAGATTTGCAAAATATTCATTAAGGAGAATTTTTATTTTGTTTTTTCAAATTTGTGACATTTATCAAAGAGAGAATATTTTGACAAAAGAAACAAGTAATAATCGGATGGGGCAAGGTCGGGGGAGTACGAAGGATGAGGTAGAACACCTCAATGAAACTATAAGAGTTCCTGTCATACGGCCAACACGACATGCGGATAAATATATAAGCTATATAGCTCAGAGACTGGAATTATGTGGTTTACAAATACAGACGGAGTTATGAGATTTTTACTGCCTATCATCGATATATTAAATAGGGTTTGTGTTATTTTAATGGCCTTAATGAGTTGTTACAGGTTAGCTGTAAGGTTTAAGGTTTAGTTCAGTTAAAAATGAACTTCAAAAATTTTGTAATAGCCCAATATTGCCAAAAAATAATTTCTTTTCAAATTAGAGCGGTTAGTGATGCGTCAAAGTTTTGTGATGCCTGCACCAGATTTTTTATAGATTGTGGAGCCAAAACAGCTCTGATGATTTTAACGAGACTTGCCTAATGTCATTTTCCTTATGCCCTTTATTTTAGTTAACACATTTCTGAAAAAATATCGGAAATAGTGGCAAAGAAAAAATATTTAGTTTATGTATAACTCAGAAAGCAGACATGAAAAACTTTATTTAGAATCACACGAAATATAATAAAATTCTCTATAATAGGAAGAAAAATAAATTGAAAATGGATGTTAATAGCAAATATATGGTACACTGTAATTTGTAACAATGTTTTTAAAAGTATTTTGTGCTGTTTTCATTGAAATCTAGTCACTCTTTATCAGTTTTTCTTTAATACAAAAACTAACATTGCTGATGTCCATTTGAAAGATAAATAAATTGTCAGCAAAGCTAAATTCTGAGAGGCAACTGGAATGAAGGTAAGGATTTTCTCGATCCAACCAGATATAAGAAAAGTAAAAATAGTGAAATATATTGAATGTCCTCACATAGTAAATTTAGATAATTTAACTGTACACATTTTAGGATTAATAAGCTCTCTCATTATGAACATACATTAAGCTAAGAGTATATTACAGAATGAAAATGAAAGACAGTTGCAATGAGGATGAATGAAATTTTTTGTCACACTACTTTATGTACCATTATTCTGTTTTAATTTCTACAACTCAACTCAATGCATGAATGTAAAATGAGGATGCTATACAACATGTCATATGATCACTCAAAACAGACTTATATTTGTTATCAAGAGTGCATTCAATTTACCAATATCATATGGTTTTCGAAGATTTTTTTTTTCACTTTTAATAAATTTATAGAGTAAATGCAGTGGTTACTCTTGTGGTTAATTATTTATCTTATGAGATAGTTGAACATAAATATTTTTTAACAACTTTAATTTGAATTTTCAAGTCTGTACCATAACTTTTTCAAATTATATATCCAGTCACCATCGTAAAGTTGAGTGTACCACATTCCAAGCATAATTTGTTGTTTCATTCTGTCAAAACTTTAAATAAAAAAAAAAAATTAAAAGAACATGAAAGAAAGAAAGAATATCCATACATAAAAGGAAATCATCCAACCAAAACACATAAACAGCAGCTTTGTTAACAACTCATTAGTAACTAACTTGTATTATATTGGAGTAAGAACTGCTAATTAAATTAACGCTTATTCCCATATCTTCTAAAACTTCTTCAACAGGCTTAGCTGGATAAGAAATCTTGATTAATAAAATCATTTTAATTTCAAATCAGATTATAATGAAGAGCACTATTTCATAACTATTAGGAAGTAATACAATGTGCATGTGCTCATTTACTTATTGTCACTTTGAGTAGCAAGCAAGAATTAAAGAGTGTAACAAAAAATTGAAGTAGCAACATAATAAGCACAAAATTTAATTAAATAAACAGCAAAAACATAAGTGTCACAACAATGAAAAAATTTAACATACACTGAGCCAAAAAAGTCTGCAAACAATATAATTCATTAAAAAGGAAGGAGATGGTCCAGGGCGGCAGTCATAAATAGTGGTAAAACTATTTTATTGAAAGCCGAAGTTTCGACCCGACTTTGCAGGTCTTCTTCAGGGCTAGAACGGACAAGATACAAAAAGATAGAGAATTGTGGCAGTTACATAATATTTAGACAAAATTGTGAATAAACTTATTGAAATTGTAAACAGTAAGTACATTAAAATATGAACAAAGTTAGCTAAGTAACAAGATCCTAAACTGAAGTAAATAGATGTTAACAATTGTTGTAGTGTAATATATAATAAATGCAAATGTTAATATACTTCCACAGATCTATAGGAGAGATTGAAAGAAAAGGAAACCAAAAATTAAATAAATAAGTAAATAAAATGGAAGAATAAAATTAGAGACTTAAAGGTGTGTTCAGACCTGCAAACTCAGGTCGAAACGTCAGCTTTCAATAAAATAGTTTTGCCACTATTTAGCCTATTTATGACCGCCACCCCGGACACCATCTCCTTCCTTTATAATGCAACGGTCAACTATTAAATATTCAATATAATTCATTGTTAAGTAAATAATATAAAATTGTTTATATTAATTTTTTTGTTTCTCAAAACTTCAAATTAAAAGTCTTTCATTGATACTAACAACTTAGCAGTAATTTTCCACATTCTTTCAAAACTAACTTTTTATATTTTTATCTGCTTTACATCCACCGTTTTCATACTCGGTGATTCATGACATCCCAAAAGTGCTTCATATGATTTAGATAGAGAGATAGGGAACAAGTTTTCAGGTGTTAGGATCTATCATATAAAAGCTATTTCTGAGTTTTAAGAGATCATGTATAGAGTTGTCTTGTTAAAAGCCAAATCAGGGGTCAAGTGCAAAGGGGATATGTGAATTTTCAGGATAATTGGAATTATTGATAACAATAAAGTGATGAAGTAATATGTTATTAATATTTCTTCTTTCCATTCACACAGATTCAATATTTGGTCCATAGATGAGTTGATAGAGTTACCCATTGACCATCAACATCACCCTTATACATAGTAGATCCAGGTTGAATGCAGTTTTCTAAGAATTCAAAAATGTTACATACCCCTTAATCCTTTCATTTTTTCTTTTAAATATTAATATAGATGTAGCAATTCATAACACCATTAATTATTACACTCCTCTCACACACATGCATTCCCATACCATAAAATTATCTCCTCCATGTTTCGTAGTAGGTTTTTTTTTTTCATTTCTAGATTATATAATTAAACAAAAAAAGAACCACAAGTCTATACTATGTAGTGAAACATGGATTGCAGTAAGTTAATTTATAATGTTCACAGACTGTTATGGATTACTCATGAGCGAAGGCGACAAAATGATTAGATGAACAATAAATAACCAAACAATTTCATATCATATTATATAAAATGAAATCTGAATAATTCTATTATTAAATAAAATTAAAACTGTATACTTCTATTATTAATAGAATGATTTAAAAAAAAAAAAAAAAGATCCTGTGATGATAAAATTAATTTTCTTTATCAGCATGGAGAAGTGGGGTAGCTCAGTGGTAGGGAGCTGATCTTCCAATGCTTAAGGTTTCGATTTCGAATCTAGGCTAATGATAGAAAAATTATTTATTCTGTTTGATCAGCCGTGGTGCGACACTGGGATCAGGAGACCCTCGTGGGGCACACCCAGCCTCTATAAAATGGGTAATATTAATTAAATAATTAATTGAGGGGGAAAACCTGGCGGTTGAGAGTGATCTCAGTCAAATCACCTCCTTGCACAACTGCTGACTAAGAAACAGTGCTTTCTCTATTTTCCTAAACCGTACTGAACCCAGGACCCTTACCCTTCAAGGGTTGTAGTGGTACAAGTTTTTTTTTTTTTTACTAGCATACTTTTTTGGCCCTGTTTATAACTGATGAGGTTTCATAAAAATATGACCAAAATAGTTTTGTAAATGAATCATAAAAAACTAAATTATTAAGGAATACAAAATACTGCATCAAATAAAACAACATAGATTTATATTTCGATCAACCTTTTATTACAATTTAACACACATACAATGAGGTTAGACCTTAATTATAAATGCTGAATGAAATATTTACAATGAAATTTGTTTATATATATCTTTTAACTATAATACAGAATAATGCTACGACGTATAATAAGTAAGCAATAATGGGTTATGATTTAAGTTGTTCTAATGGTTCATACCCATCCTTTTCAATTCGCTCCTTAAATTGTAGGTAATTCCTTTTTCGATCAAAGTGTTTAACCTGCAATTAATATTTATGGGGAAATTAGGAACAAAGATAACAGCAACATAACAAATAATAATAAATATACACAGCTAAACTATATTTTAAAATTTTGATTTTATTAAATAAATTTAGGAAATAAGGGAATTCTCTCTAAACATCAATTAAAACAAGACATTTATGTCACAAAATAATGTTATTATTTCATTATGATAAAAATAGATGTAAATGAAGGGATCATTTGCTAAAATGGAAGCTGTTAATTGAAACAAAAAAATTCTGACCCATAATAATTTTTAATTTACTAATTTTTATCTTCATAATTTTTTCTTTCCATTTACATGATAGATTGTTAATACCCTTGTTTTTGTTATTAAATAATAAATAACTATTTAATACATTTTGTCAAAAACACTTTGTAAAGCCAAACTAATGAGAAGCTAACAAAAATGATAAAAACTTTCTTCTAAAGCAAAAATGTATTTAAAACAAAAGTATTTTAGTCTACCAACGTAAACGTAAAAGTATGGCAGTCTACCAACTGCTTCCTGCAGTGCCCGATACCACACTCAGATGAAGATAATAAACGTTGGCGCTTTGATTGAAATACTATTTTAACAATTTAATATTTTTAATATTTATTTGACCTCATCCCCCTCTCGCCCGACCAACTCCTTCTCAAAAGTATTTTATGTTGAAACAAAATACAAAAATAAAACGGTGATGTCAAACAATCAAAGTTATATGATCTGAAACTATGCACTAAAATAACAAGAAGAAACTGAAAAGTAAAGCACGATTGAAAATTTTCAATTCTGAGATTTTTTTTTTTAAACCTGTGGCAAGAAAATAAATGAATAAAAAAAAAAATACTAAAGCAATTTCGCTTCAATTCTATAAGTTTTATTTCTAAACATGGGTTGAAATAGACAGTTATTTGTCTATGGTTCAATTTTGATTTGAATCTAAATAAATTTTATTTCCAAAAATAAAAACAATTATATAATTGCGGACTGAAGCAAAACTATTATTTCAAGGGATAGTTTTATAAACATACAATGAGATAGTTTAAAAAATATTTTTCTTTAACAATACAATTTTTTACATTTTTTTTTAACAAGAAAGATGAAATTTATAGGTTTTTTTTCTTTTAACGAGAGAGTAGTGGATAGTCCCGTTTTTAAGGCCTATTATATTAAATATATATCTTTGAATTTATAAGGGGCTAGTAGTAACTAGCTGACACGCATTAAATTTTCAATTCCTTTACCAAAATAAGTTAAAACAGAAAAAACATAATTTCAAAACACTCTAAGAATAAATAAAACACAAATTTTGGGATAAATCGAAATAGTTAAAGAGAAAAGATCAAACCAAAGGTATGATGCCGTCGTTGAATAATATTTGTTCCTGGGACATTAAATGAACGGTGAGGGACTTTCCTAATTTGCCACCCATTATTTCGGTCATGGTTCCTGGCAAGAATAAAGTAACGCAGATAAATACACAGCGAGGAAATACAGAGGTCTAAGAGGTCCTAAAATCTTGTTTTCTCCATTTTAGGAGGATGTCTGCTATTAGTACACTGTCTGCACTGGACTAGTAATTGTAATCTGAATATAAATTATGACAATCTCTCACATTAGTATATTAGTTAATAAGAGATGGATTATAGCTCATCTAATAAAGCTATAAATGTGATAGTAATAAGTCTTTTAAATTAAACCGTTAATACTTCAGAATCACAAATACAAATTTCTGATTCCTTACTTTCTTTTAAAAGGAATAAAAGAAAAAATGTAAAATTATTATTACATTATTAATTTTTAAATGTTCAATATTAAACTTCATTATTCTTTAAAACAGTTAATCAATATTTAAAAAAAAATTAACAAATTAGTTAATAACACAGTGATACAGACTTCTTTTCATCAAATAATTAACATCCACCTAAACATTGTGAAAAACTTCATCTCTTCGAAATCTACACTTTTTTATTTATAAAAATTCTCAGAATTGGGGCATTTTCAATCTAGATATCAGCAAACTTTGTCTATTCAATTAGGTACATAAAACTCGTAAATATCCATTTTCTTTCCACTTGAATCGTATGATAATTTAATCATAAAATCGAGAAAAAAAGTGTCCAGGAGAAAAAAATATTGGGCCAATTTGCCTCCACCTCCATCATGTTAAAATAACAAAGTTATATAGAACCAAAGGATCCAATATTTTTGTAGGTAACTTTTTTTTTTTTTGATTTAGTGATCAAATTACCTTAGGATTCAATTGGAAAGTAAATGGATATTTATGAGTTTTTAGTACCACATTAAAATAATTAATGTAATAAGAAAATGTCCCATTTCTGAGAATTTTCAGATAAAAAAATTTTAGGTTACGATAAGATGAAGCCAGATGTTAATAATTTGATAAAAAGGGGTTTGTATCACTATGAATATAAATGAATAACTATGAATATTCAAAGACTTTAAACAATTTGACATACTATGCCAGAATGTACAGATATTAATTTCCTCATAAACAATTATGATGTACTTTTGTTATATCTTTATTATTTTAGATTACGGAAAGAACTAGGTAAATATTAACTATTGATTAGAACAATTCGAATGTAATTAATACAACAAAACTGTAATGATTTTATTATTCATAAACAGAAAAATATAAAATCAGAATGAATTAAGTCTAAACATGGAAACAATTTATTTTAAGAGCATAAATGACACACAATCAACATTCTGAGTTATTATATTTGGGAATTGCTAAAAGTAGAGCAGTTTATATTAAAACTAATATTTATAAATTCTCCTTTAAATAGAGACTCCCAAAATATGTCTGCACCCTTCTCATTTAAAAAAAAACAAAAACAATTTCATACGATCATAGAATAATAAAATAACAAATTTAAGAGAAGTTTATATATTTCTTAATGCAGATGCATTTTTCTGAACTACTGATAATATTTCGTACATCTTATGTTTATTACTTGATTGAAATACCAAAGGAATGTTATATAGAATTAAAGGATATAATTTAAATAATTATATCTGAGGATAATGGAATAACAACTGACAACAATTTTTTCCACTCAAAAAATAATAGGGTAATTGGTTAAAGTTGTATGTTAAAATGGAAAAATTTCCAAAGGAGCAGACTACAACTAATGGACATTGGCAACTAATGTTATTTTTGAAATTAACATTAACTTATGAAGTTAATAACTTAACTCATAAGAACTCAACATAAGAAATTTTGATATTGGTTGTTCATGTATTAAGATATAGACATTATTATAAAATTAATTAAAGTATTGTTAAACGCTATTTAAAAATAATTAAAATCAGATTTTTCAAGTAAATGTTAATAGTATGGAATCCTTTCAAAGTGATAACGTATAATATTAAAATAAAATTAAACATATTTTGGCAGCAGTTTAAAAATCCCAAATTAAAATAATTTATCAGGATAAAATTTAAAGTCCAATTATAAAAAAATCACTTACCCACTGTGCAGGACACGATGATTCGTAGAGTTTTCTAAATTCTTTACACATTTCTTCGGAACCTTTTTGAGTATCGAGACATTCCCAATAACGATCTTTACTACCCCAACAAGCTTCACGTTGTTGTTTATCAGGAAACGACATCTCAAACGTCTATCTCACCAACGAAATCACAGAATAACTTTAGGTATCACTTTTTACTTGAGAAGGAAATGATGTTTTAAAAACCGAAATTCTTGAAACCAATAAATAATTTGGAATGCTTACAAAATTAAATAAAAAAATATAACTATTGAAAACAAATCAATATAAATGGCTAAAACAAACTAAAAACAAAATAAAAAAATTAAATTCTACATCATATTAAAACCATGATAAGAAACAGACTGAGTAAAAGAAGGTTTACTTACCCCTATTTGAATCTAGAGGGGATGAAAATTGACCAATCAAACTCTGAGAAGCTCTGGGCCAAGGAACCAATTGAAATTGTTATAAAAATAACTTTTTAAAAGCACTTATCAAATGTTTATTAAATATAACTACAAAGTTCACTTTTTCTTATTCATCTAGAAATTAAAAAAAACATAATTAATATTGCTACATAATGATGCTCGGTTAAAAAAAGTATATTTATATATATTTCAAGTCGTTCTATTCACTCATGATAACAAAAATGAATGTTATATTCATAAAATATATTTTTGTGTAAAATCCCTATTTTTGATAGTATATCTACAACAGTAAATATATTGACCTAGATATTAAGTTTTTATTATAGCAGTAAATAATTTATAACACCTCATAAGTGCTAAAGGAAATGGGCAAAAAAAATTAAATAAAAACTGTTTAATTTGAAAACTACAAGATCATGTGCCCGATCTTAGTTTTGGTGTGACACTTCTGAAGTAGGTTCAATACTATTAAGTTTCACATTTTAAACAATATAAGTGTAATAAGGTCATCAATAAACAGAATTATTTAATTTTTAAAAAATACTCGCAATAATTTTATTAAGATGTACAAATACATGTTAAAAAATTGATAATGGATTGTGTAATATACACTCTGTACAACGTTAAAAAGCACTAATACTTTTTAATTAATTAATTAAAGTAAATAAATGGATACAGTAACAGAGTAAAAAGTTGCTATATTTCCAGTAACAAACAATGACATGTGCCTTAATATATTCAAATATCTGCAAATTTTAAGCGAACTTCATGTTCTACTTACAAATAATTCTAAAGCACAAGAGAATATCCTTATTTTTCACAAGTAACACCATTATATTACCACTTTGAAGAAGGTTATGTTACTATACCATAGAGGTAATATCGCAAGTAATCGATAGAAATACAACAAATTGTAATTTAGCTACAATTCCCAGTTATTGGTTATTACTTCCAGAGATTTTTTATTATTTATCTTACGATTCAAGACGATAGCAAATGGATATTTATGAGTTTTTATCACATCATTAAAATAATTAATTTAATAAGGAGATATCCCATTTTTGAGAGAAATTAGATAAGAAAATTGCAGGTTACGATAAGATAAAGCTATTCATGAATATTCTGGCGGATGTTAATATTTTGATAAAAAGGGGCCTGTACCACTATAATTATGAATATTCAAAGATCTCAATCAACCTAACATACTATGCCAGAATGTAGAGATATTAATTTCCTCATAAGCAATTATGACGTACTTTTGTTATTTCTTTATTATTTTATATTTCGAAAAGAACTAGGTAAATATTACATATCGATTAGAATAATTTGAATGTAATTAATACAACAAAATAATTATTTTATTATTCATAAACAGAATTATACAAAATCAGGATAAATTAAGTCTAAACTTGAGATCGACCGATATCGAATTTTCGGCCGATGCCGATACCGATATCGACTTTTTTCACCTTTTCTTTAAGTTTTCTACAGTTTCACATGGCATATCGTAATCATTGCTAAATAAAAGAATTAATGGACCATCTACACATCGCCTTAAACACAAATTTTGACCGACAAATAAAAAATAATCAAATAAAAAATATAAATAAAAAAATAATCAAACTCAACCAATCTTGTAATAATATCTTAAGGCCGGTAATTTGTATTTGGAATTCGCTATCTGTCCAAATGGTGGGAAGGGAAATACAAATTAAAAATAATAAAAAATAAACACGTAAAAGTTTCCCAATCTCTATAAAAATAAGTCATTATGCCGATATATAGGTTTTTTTTAATATCGGTATCTTATCAAATTTATCTTTATGTTGATTCCTTGGTGACTGATTGACACATTTATTAGCAATATAAATAATATTTTACGGAAAATCTCTACTAATCTTTATAAAATAAGATCTCGTGAGACCGGTATATTGGTCTTTGGAATATCGGTATTTGCCCAAATTAGGGAAAGGAGGGCCATAAAAAAAAATTGGTCTAACTCTTCTTATCTCATTAAAATATATTCATAAGGCATATATCGGTCTTTAGGACATACGTTTCTGCTAAGAATTTGGGGAGAGCATAAGGAAAAAAAAAACAAAACAATAGTCAGTCAAACTTTGCCAATCTGATTGAAATAAGATCAGAAGTCCGACATATCGGTCTTTGATCAAATTTATGTTTATGTTGATTCCATGGTTACTGATTGAAACATTTATTAGCAATATAAATAATATTTTACGGAAAATCACTACTAATCTTGATAAAATAAGATCTCGTGAGGCCGGTATATTGGTCTTTGGAATATCGGTATCTGCCCAAATTAGGGGAAACAGGGCCAGAAAAAAAATTTGGTCCAACTCTTCTTATCTCATTAAAATAAAGTCATAAGGCCGATATATCAGTCTTTAGGATACACGTATCTGTTAAGAATCAGGGGAAAGCCTGAGAAAAAAAACAAAACAATAGTCAGTCAAACTCTACCAATCTCATTGAAATAGGTCATAAGCCCGATATATGACACATTTGGCGATTGATTGACACATTTGTGAGCAATAAAAATAATATTCAATGAGAAAGAGGCCGATATATCGGTTTAAAATAATGACCAGAAAATTGGGTAGTGGAGCACAAATAAATAAAAAAGAAGAAATAAAATTGCACAAATCTTGACAAAATAAGGCCGTGAAGCCGATATAGTCTTTGTAATATCGGTATTTGTCCAAACTAGGGGAAGGGAAAGGCATGGAAAAAATTAAATTAAAATTTTTCCAACTCTTAAAATAAGGTCACGATTCCGATATTTCGGTCTTTAAGATATCCTTACCTGTTAAAAATCTGAAATGAGAGAAAAAAGCTGATATATCGGCAAATCGGAGTTTAATATCGGTCGATACCGATAATCGGCTAAAAGGCCGATATGCCGCAATAAATATCGGTATCGGGCAATCTCTAGACTAAACATGTAAACAATTTATTTTAAGAACATAAATAAAACAATCAACATTCTGAGTTATATTGCTAAAAGTAGAGCAGTTTACATCAAAACTATTATTTATAAATTCTCCTCTAAAAAGAGACTCCCAAAATATGTCTGCACCCTTCTCATCTTTTTTAAATTCCACAAGATAATAAAGAAAATAACAAAGTTAAGAAAAAATTATACAATGAAATAAAATGGGTACTTATGAGTTTTTATTATATCATTTAATTAATTAATTTAATGAGAAGAGGGCCCAATTCTAAAAATTTTGGAATATATAAAAATCGTAGGATACAATAAGATGAAGCTATTCAAGAAATTTTAGGCGGATGTTAATAATTTCATAAACTGGAGTTTGTAAAACGGTCTATGTTTGTGTGGAAGGGGGAGAGTTAGTTACCTCTTGTCTCCCAGATGTCGTCTTTTTGTGGAGGAGCTTTAGTTATTAGTTAGTAGGCAGATAAAAAACAGAAGAAGATGCGAACTGCCTATCTAAAAGCTCTACCGCCCAACACCTACAATATCAGTGGGCGAAAATAGCGTTTGCGAATAGGGATCGTTGCCTCTTTGATATATTCTAAAATTATTTTTTCACTTCGAACAGTTCAAAAACCTAAAGAATTTATATGCTTGTTATAGATCTGATTATGAATATTTTTTTTATCAAATCACGTTTTATCATATTGCTTATCATGTAAACATATTACCTAAACAAAAAGTGATAAAGATAAGCAAAGAAACTAGACTGTAGGTTGTTTATCGTTGAAAATATTGAAGTTATTTTATATTTATACTAGTAGGCCCGTGCGAAAAATTCGCACAGCCTATTGTTATAAAATGCCAAATTAATAAGAAAATAAATCAATGCAACGTATCAAAAGATAAAGAAATCAAATGTTACTATATCCATAAATATAATCGACAAAGAAAACAAAAATTAATTTAAATCTTCATTTTTGTTTGGAACCAAAATGTTTACAAATTTCAGTAAGATGTATCTATGCTAAAAAATGTCCGATTTCGATGATTTTTTTTTTCCTTTTGCAAGGAATTTAGTAATCTTTTATATAATCATAAACATAACTATGGGAAAAGTGTGTAATTTTTTAGTTATTCGCAAATAAAGTTTGTTTTCTTTTATAACTTGTTTGCCTGAATTTTCGGAGTGATTGGACTATTTTGCCCGCCTGAAGGAGAAGGAAGTCTTCGAAATTCGTTGCTCAATCTTAAGATTTGGTGAAAAATTAACGATGATATGGCATGCCGATAAAAAACACCATTCATAAATAATATAAACTCCTCCTCTCCCGATCATAGAGACCTCAAGTCGACGAAATGAGACATGTATTCAATGACAGTACTACAATTAACGTCAGATTGTGTGGATGCGAACACTATGCCTTGCGTTCTCGAAAATAGTACGTTTTTCGATAATAGTACGTTTTTGGGCTTAAAAAGGCAGGATCCGATAGTTTCGGAGGAACTATCCGGGTCTTGTTGTACGCATCAAAATCTTCAAGGTCCAATTTGTCCCGTATCGATCTACAGACCTACCACCGTTCCAGTATTGAAGCCTAGCAAAATGTTTGTATCGACTTTATTTATTTTAGAAAGAAAAGCAAAAGTGGAGAATACGATTCGCTAACCCCCGTGAAATTCTGAATCCAGCGGTACCCCATTCATGGTATTTGAGCCTGACAGGAGCCTGT